TCTTATTTGTGCTCTGGCCAATTCATTCGTCGCCCTAACGTGAATCATGCATCCTTCTATGCTGCGTTGTGTAGTCTGCAGTTTATGAATAGCTTTCAGGCTTAGTGCCCACGTTTTGTACTCATAGGTTAGCACCGGAAGCACACACTGATCGGAAAATTTCGGTTTCAAGCAAAAGCTACTTTTCCGGATAAGAAGACTTTCAATCTTTATACGTGTTCCATGCTGTTCTTCCTCTTCTGTTAATTTCCCATGGTCTTTTCTCAGTTGCGAAGACCTGTTGTCTCAAATAGAAGTGCATTAGCACCTCTTCAAGTCTGAATCGGTTGACTTCAACAGGTTAATGCGTTTGTTAAATATGTCCTGAGTCTTCTTCGGGTTTATTTTTAGTCATACTATCATGCTAGCTTCTTTCAGCTCTTGGATTCTTGTTTGTAGTTCTTCTGGTAAGATTCAGATAATGGGAATATCGTATGCAATTCTGGTTTAAATAATGCCCATTTGTGTTCAGTCCCTGAGAATTAACTTTGAAAATAAATCTAATGAAATTGGATTCATAACATTACAGTTTAGGTTATGTACGTATGTTTCTCTCGTATTCATTGAGAGATTTTTTCAATAATTTTGCGGTTAAGCAGGCTCAACATTGTTCGAGATTTTATTTTTTGACCCGTTGATTTTTGGCTTTGCTAGGTCTTTCTTTATTTTTCATATCACTGTCATTATTTCAGGACAAATGTGGTTCTGGTTTGGTTACTGTAGTTGCGGACGTAGAGGAGCCATCTGCACCTTCAACGGTGACCATGGAGCAGTTGAACACGAAAGACGAAAACGTGAATACCCTTTCTCGCCTCTTCGAACTGTGTCCATTACTCACGGCGCCGGTCGTCTTCACTGTTCCTGTGACTTGTGAACAGAGATCGATGTCCGCCAATTTTTCAACTCCTGCGAATGCGAAGCTGAAGCCAAGGCCGGGGGCGATCGACTTGAAAGACGAAGAGATGCCGCCCTGCCAGCTGGCTCTACCTTCAACGACGTCTTCTTCTTCGCCGGGTCTGTCGCCGAATTTTCCGGACCTTGAGGCGGAGTTCGTGTTATGTAGGGAATCACTCGACGACGAGCAGGTAGATGGCAATGCTGTGAATACATCATCACAAATTGCTGATCCCTCCAAAGTCACAGTCTTCCCTTCGCCTACGGAAACGTCTCCGAAAGTGCCTTTGTCGCCGCCACAGGACCTAAAACCCTCACTTTCCTTCACCAGCATGTCTGACTCCGAGGATGGAATACTCTCTAATGAAGTATTCAATAATATCGGCCGTTCTTTTGAAGGGTAACTGGTTATTTTTCATAGACTAAATGTTGTTGCTTCAACCTTAAAAATTAGTTTCGTTGACCACCTCTTTAGTCAATCTGAAAATGATGAAAGCGTGTAAAGTGTAAATTAATTACGTTGATAATTGGTAACGAATAAATTTAATTACCATCCCAGAGAGATACCGAATACTGTAACTTTCAAGTAAGCACGGTTCTTCAGCATTAAGTAAGGCAAAGACTGTTCTTCAACCTACTGAATCCAAGGTGTCAGGAAAGCTTTTTCCAGCTTGTCGTTAAAAATCTGCGGAAGATCCATCCACTATTTCAATTTTTTCTGTTCAAAAGTTCTGCTTTATTTCTGCCTGAATTTCGTGAGAACACGGAACTCCTACCTGTGCTGCTACTGTGCATATATACTGCCTAAAGCGTGATCTCGCAAACTATCGTTGCTGCTGAAAAATATCAGTACATAGCGTTGAGTAATGTAAATGATGCGAAGCGCTAAAACACCCCTACGGTTTGATCAAATAGCCGCCGTGAAGCTTGAAGCAGTGGAACAGTTCAGAAGCTCTGCGTTATCAGGTTTAGTGGAAAGGTACTTAATACTTGTTCATAAAGCATGTTAGGTAAAACCGGATTAATTACAACCGTTAACAGTTAACTTATTATATTTATTTATTTAAATGTTTATTTACATTTATTTGCGTTTACGTAAAACATTTTATGAGTTACTAAAAGCGGTGGGTGGTTTAATTAATAATACCGTGTTGGCACGTGAGATAAAAAGGTGATTCATACTATTTTACCTGCCGTGTCACTGAGTATTCTCTTATTAAGCACTGAAGAAATCGGAATGAG